TTGCCTCAGCTTCCCAAGTAGCTGGAACTACAGGTGCCCGCCATAGCGCCTGGCTAATTTTTCTATTTTTAGTAGGGATGGGGTCTCACTGTTGCTCAGGCTGGTCTCAAATTCCTAAGCTGACTAACCACCTACTTCGGCCTCCCAGAGTTGTAGGATTACGGGCATGAGCCAGCATGCCCAGCCCAACTACTTTTAAATAGCCTAGTTCTGATTATTGCAATTGAACAAGGCACTCACTCTCTAGAAAGCAGTCAATTCTCAGTTGACTATTGTTTAACTTAATGTTTACTAAGAGGCTCCATGAACACCATGCTCTGTGTTCGTTTCTGGAGGAGACAGTAGTGAACGGGACAGGCAAGGTCACCTCCTCTCATGGGAAAACAGGTAGTGAGCAAGCAAACAAATGATTTAAAGTGGCGACTTGGTGCTATAAAAGGGAAATGATAGAGGGTGCCAGCACAGGACTACTCCTTTAGATTGATGATCAGGGGACGTCCCTCTGAAGACGTTACAACTGAACCAAAACCTGAGTAGCAACAAGAACCAGCTGAGTCAAAACTGGATAGGAAGAGCTTCCTGGCAGTGGTAGCAGAAAGTGCAAAGGCCCCGGGGAAGAAAGGGCTGTGGTCAGCTAGAGAGGTGGGCTGCCAAGCAAGTGAGCAAACGAGCTGACGAGTGTTTGGATATTATTCTAAGTTCACTGGCTGTGAAGTGGTGGGACTGAGAAGGTTGTGCAGGAGAGTGGCAATCGGATTTACTTTTTAGAAAGACAATTCTGGTTGTGGTGTTTTGTCTAGTGAGGGAGCAAGACGAAAACTGGATGGGAGAAAATGGTGACCTGGGCTGGGGCAATAGTAATGGAGGTGGTGCAAATCAGGACTCAGGTTGAAACTGGATGGCAGACTCATCAGAGCTTACGCTTCAGTAGAGTGGGTGGATCAGACAGAGCAAAGGAAGAGAGGTCCCAGGATTTGAGAAACTGGCCGTGTGGCTGTGTCCGTATCATTTTCTACGTGGAAAAGAGTAAGGAATGTGCTGGCATCACAGAGTAAAAATCGTGAGGGAGGATTTCACGCAGGCCTTGGGATCTAGGTGTCGAGAGAGCAGAAGACAAGGAAGAGGTAGTAGAAAAACAGTGAAGTCAGATTCCAGATTCATTCTCAGCAGACTAGAGGAGGTGACAAACAGGACTCCATAAAAAGGAGGCCCTTAAGATTTCTCCCTTCCTGTGTGTGAGGGGCCTGGTTTACATCATTGCATTCCAGCCAAGCACACACCTTCCATTCTTGAGTACTCTTCAAATTAAAAGAGAAAAGTTTTTAAATCATATGAATATGTGATTTGGGAAATGTAGTAAATTGAGCATGCTTATTCTTAGGTTGAAGGTTTGTTAATCCATACAAAGCTTAATTGAAGAAAACCTCATGGAATACCATGATTGACTACCCTGTGCAAAATTAATTTGTTAGCCCAGGTTTTATATTCACTCAGGTTTATTTTTCTCTTTCCTCTCACCTTGCCAGCATTTACCAAAAGAACTATCACTCCAGATCCAGCTTCAATCAAGGAGGATACCTTAAGTTGACCAATGAACGGAATGAGTCCACAGTCCAAACGAGAGGAGCATGAGAGCTCAAAAAGCAAAAGCAGTTACTTTACATGAGTGTTTTACAAATAACAACATGTAGGCCTGCAGCCACTTGGGCCAGATCACCTAGCAGACATACCTGCGGTTTCAGCTCTTGGATATTGCCAAGCATCGCCTAAAATGACAATACAGTTGGTCTTTGTAATTGATATTAGTTAAGTGAATCCAAATAATATCAGCTCATGAGTGATGTGCAGCTAATTTATTGGCAACTTATACTAGCACAGAAAGAGTGATACTCAAGTATAGTCAGTCACATATTCCTGACCAAAATTTGGATTTATAATTGAGGCCTTTCAAAAATTACTGGCTAAAAGAGGAGGAAAATGAGATCCCCTTGAGGCAAAAGTTGCCAGCACTTTAGATTCAGGGAGCATTTATCTACAATTGATTTTTTTTTTAAATGCTTTCTCCCTAATAAATTACCATGTGTTATAACATGTCACGGAGATATGCATTTGTAATATTAGACAGTCCGCATTATAAATGCTCAGGATCGGTACATCCATCATCTCAGCAGTCTGTTACTACATGCAGTAGTTTAAAATTATTTCCAATCATCCATTTTTAATAGCAATAAAGAATTTATAAACAGTATCTGAATTGTAAAGCACTGTAAAGAATTCATAGCACAATTTATTTATTTGTCTTTAGTGGTCAAATAGCCCACTATGATGACTTTGGTCATAATCTAGACCATCTTTGGTTTTCTGTGTCCAAACTTCATAGCACCAAACTCCTGTGCTCAGACGATTTGCTCTGCAAGAGTTCTTGTATAATTTGGTATTCTCTACTTCCGGCATCCCAGCCTTTCTCGACATCTGTGTGTTTTTAAGAACTTACTCCCTTTACATGCTAATCTACCAATGAAGGAAGATTTATATTAAATGCTGAAGAATGGTAAACTTCCAGGAACTAAATCCTATTGGGTCCATTGTGGGAAGTTTCCACACGGAGACAAGGACAATAAAGCAATACCTTTGTAATGTACATTTTATTTTGTGTTTGTCAAAGTACATTTGTTAATTTTTTTCACATTTCATAAAGGTGCTTCTATTTACACTCAAGATCTGTTTTCCTAACTTGCCATATTTGAAGGTACAGAAGAAAAAATGACATTCTCTTTCTATGAACTCAAATGAAACCCGTACTATAATGCTTGGGTATATTTCATATTAAAAAATTGTGTAACATGAGCTATATACTCCCTGAGCGTATAGCCCCATATTTTATCATTTATTCAGCCTCAACCCCCTTCCTTTTGTTTGAAGTTCCTATGATATGCCAGGTCATTGTGTGAGGAGGAAAAAAAGAGATATAAAAACAGGTACGCAAGTCCCATGGTTTATTTGGCATTAGGAATTATATTACAGAATAAAAAAAGAGAAAGATGATGTGTTCAGGCTAGCTGAAGAAATTCTGAATTAAATAGAATTAAACAGCATTAAACAAGTTTGATTTTCTTTTATCTAACCTAAGAACTTCTCAGGCTGTATAATGTACTTAGCACTGTGAGGTTCTAGTGGGAGGATCCCTTTGAAGGAGCAGCTTGCAGTCCTGATGGTCCATGTAACCTGTGTCACCCTATGGTAATATTTAGGGTATTGAGAAATTATTTCCATTGATATTTTAACATTACAATCATTTTTTTCTTTTACTCCTTGGACCTAAATAACAGGAAAAAAAAAATAAGGGATAAAATAAACAAGTTTTACTTAAATCCTAAGGACAAAAGTTAAATCGTTTTTCCCTTTTTACTTTAGTAAGGGACTTCAGTCCATTCTGTTTAATGGAAATTGATCTAAACCATTATTAGTGCATCTGTAGTCATTAAAGAAAAGTTACGCCAGGCCAGTTAGACCCAGAAGTTTAAGGTAACTGAAATTATTTACTTAGAAACCCCTTGAAAACATATTAGCTTGTGATTTTACAACAGAATGGAGACAATTCTTGTGAAAGACCTTTTTAAGTCTGAAAAAAAAGTGACTATATCATGTTATTGAATGCCCTGTGCTACTATTGGATGAGTGAAGGTGTCTGGCTTTAAATATGGAACACACAAGAACTTCAAAGGTAAAGTCAATGTTTTGTGAGCAACAATTTGGTCAAAATTCCTTTGCCCTCTGTTTATATGGAATTAAGTCCAAGGACCTGTCTCCTCTGAGGATTTTTCCTATCTCTTTCAGTTACCATACCTTGAGCTGGAAATCAAAGAGATTGCTAAGGAAACACTAATAGCGTGATTTATACATTTCAAAGCCAAACAACTTCTCTTCCTGTCCTGACCCCTTTGGCAGGATAGCCTCAATTACGCATGATATGGGCCCCATTGAGTTGTAGCTGGTCCACCATATTGCTTGTAGCCCTGGGACACTGAAAAGTATAAACCTTATTCGGCAGTAAGCCTCCTCCAAGACTTAATTTGAAGATTGACCTTTTTGGTTTAATAATTTTGATTCTTCTGGCCATCTTTCTCCCTAAGCACACTAAACTTTCATTGAAGTTGCTGAAGGCCACAGACAGGAGAAACACAGCTGGGAGAATCTGGCTTGATGTTTTTCCCTTTGGCTAAGTCATATTATTTCCTTGACTAATGTCTGACTTGAAGGTTGAAAACCAATTGGTTATATAACATTTTATGCACCCAGTTTCCCAGAACTTCTTGCTTTACTTCCTATTGTTAACTACTCAAAAAGACATAAAATCTATAGCTTAATAAAATAGTATTCATGTACCAGTTACATTGAAATGTTAATATGTAAGAAGTCCCTACCTACTTAACTACAAGAACAATTAAAGCTAATTTTCTTCTGTTTTTTTCCTTTCAGGTATGATAAATGGATTTTTTGTTTATTTTGAATCTCAGTTCAGTGGTATACAGAGTCATAGTAATTGTTACATTTTCTCTGTCTAGTCTGTATTGACGTGTATAGTTAAATAACAAATAGTGTTTTAAGTGGGACCAAATTCTTACATATAATGAGATGGTATATTTACTTAACAAACCCTTGTTTTAGGAAGGGATAAATACCTCAAATTGTTTTGCTCAGGATTTGCGCTTATTACAAACACAACTACACATCATATGGTAGCCAAGAATGAGAATGATCGTTGAGTAATTTTCCAAGATTCTTACACCCCCTCCCCAAACAAACTGTCCCAGTATTTTTTTTCTCAATTTAAAACAAACAAAACAGTAAATTTGTGATTTTCATGGCCTTCAAATGAGGAATCTGTTCTCACGAAAGCATCTGGTTTTCTTGGATCAAAACTAAACCATGAACCTTAGCTGGAAAGTAAATGTGGGGAAGTTTGTATATAAAGACGATTCATGCACCAAATTATGAAATAAAAATAGTTACATTTTTCAACTTTTACGTTCTCAAATGTTTAGGAAGAGAAACAGAACACCTTATCCCTATTTGAGAAAAGAAATTTAAACCATGAAAGATTCCATTTAGTTTCATTTCTGTGCAAAACACAACACATCTGATTTAAGGCAGGAGAAACAGTGAGAAGCAGAACTTTATTT